GGTTCACTTTGTTTTTTGTTTAATGTAAGCCATTACTAAACAAAAAATGAAATAGTTTATAAACATTATCCAATACAAAATAAAAAAAAANATTAGTAAACGCCTCATGCTCCTCCATATTCACGGTTAGGAGTTTCTCAGTCCCGATTTCATGGGAGTTTTTAGTGCAGCCATCCTCACAAACCGGGCCCATTTACAAAACTCTTAAGTTTACCAAGGCAGGTAAAAATATGTTGTTACTCTGAGGGCTCTCTCTTCTGGCGGGAGTGCTAACGCAGGTGACTCTGAACTCGACTTAGTAGAAGAAACATTAAAGTTGGCTCCATGCGCCCAGTGCAGACTCTCTTAGTGGATGTTAGAAACATCATTTTCCAGCGCACTTATGGCTACAGTTCTTGTCACAAACTGCTACATTTCCCACAGAATGCACCCAGCATGCACCTGTCAGTCCGTGGTGCAGAGAAGCTGACACCGCTGAAGGTTATGAGTTGTGCCTAGGAGCAGCTCCATGTGAAGACTTCATCCAACCAAGCACTTTATATATGTTTTTAAAATTTAGCTCTGCACGTACCTGTCACAGACTGGTGTCCGCCTTATTATGTTGGAACCTAAAGACTGAAATGGATCATGATGCAATCTGCTATTTAGATTTTAATAAAAATCCCTCCCTATAGAACGGTGGGGGAAACACTGAAATATGGGATAGGAGGACAGTTATGGCAGCTGTGACACATTGCTGATAATTGTTTGTTTCCTCACAGGTTTACGAACCACAAAACCAAAGTACTCCCAAAGAAAAACCTGCAGATGATGGGTAGGTACATTTTGGCCTCTGGGCTTTTTCACAAAATCTGTCGTTACTGACAAAAGGCAGTTTGAAATAGTTAATCAACAAATAGGAATCCTTTTTTTGAAAGTCTGAATAACATTTTAATAATCAAATCCTTTTTATTGCTTTTTAGGGATGCACAGGGCCATTTATCAACAATTCAGCCTGGGCAGGTAATACAACAGCCTATGACAGCCTTTCTCAGTGTTGTCGTTTGTGTAATTTTAATTAGTTTTACAAGACAGAAATCTCTTTTGCTGAGAATCCATCTGAAACAAATCCAGACAAGAGCTGCTACAGGTAAAAAAAAATGATAATATAGAAGAAATTTGTATTTGTTAAATGTTTTAACATGAAGATTTTATTTTCCCAACAGTAAATACACAGATCTGTATTCACCATGTGTTGAGGAAGAGGATGAGGAGTTTGTTGCAGACACTATGGAGAATGTCCAAGACACAGTGTAAAATAAGTTTATAAGTCTGAAATTCCATTGTTTGTGCAACACTGCTGGTATTTAAATATTTGTTGTTTAATTGTGCACTTTTTGGTATATTCTTTAATTGAAGCACTTGTTGTCTTTGCAGGACAGAAGTTCACACTACACTACCTGAGATTGTAGCAAACCTCTCACTTTCTATTGATCACAAGAGAGTGAGCAGGTTCAACATCTCAAGGGCTGATGTTTGGGAGGGAGCTGTCAGGGGGTTTAAGCGTTCAACATA